CACACTGAGGACATTAGAACGTTTTGCATCTAAGATCCCAAACTATATCAAAGATCAACGAGAAGACGAAGGAAGTGATCAAAGTGAGAAAATGAACCAAACGGCTCAGGATTTCTGGACTTTTCATGCGTCTAAGATAAAGACCAAATCTCTGTTTTCAGATCAGTTCAGTTTATTTCTATAGCACCAAGAATCACAACAACGTTGTCTCCGGGCATTTTACAGGAACATTCACGTCCAGAGAAAAGCCAGTTGGTAAAGTTCTCTACTTAAGGAAGAAGCAGAGTGTCAACAATCTGCTGACGTTTTCCTGTCCTGCACAGTCACACCAAGGCTGGGAGTTTCAAATAGTTCAAATTATTAAACGAAAATTATCCATCCATCCATCCTTCCATCTATCATCTATCTATCCATCCTTCATCTATCCTTCCATCCATCCTTCCATCTATCCTTCCATCCATCCATCCATCCATCCATCCATCCATCCATCCATCCATCCATCCATCCATCATATTCCAGAGTCTTGTTGCAGGAGCAGCAGCTTGAGCAGCGAGGCCCAATCATTTCTTTCTCCAACTCTTGCAGCTCTTCTGAAAGGATTTCAAGCTGTTCAGCTGAGAAGGCATCTCCCTCTCTTCTCTCCAGGGTTTCCAGGGTTCTCCTCGCAGGTCCTCGCCCAAAGAATGAATAGTTAAAGTTTAAAAAATAAAAAGTCAAGCAAAAATGAAATTTAACACAACAGTGGCAAAAAGCTAAACGTTGTACAATAAGCAACAAATTACATATTTAAATGATTTTAATTTGTAGAAATTTTATTTCACTTGGACTCTGAAAAAAGATTTCTTTGAATTTTATTTGTGAAGCTGGAGAAGTTATCCTGACCATGACTGATTTATGACAGCAATAAAAACACAAAACATCCAATGGGAGGACTTTTTATAGACACTGTTTGTTAAAATAGATTTCAGAAAACAACATTTTAAATGAATTTAAGAGATTTCAGTGTATTTATGCATGCCTAAATAAAGATAAATAGTTTAAAAAGTACAAAGGTTATAAATATTAAAAGTGTTTCCACACTACTTGACTGAGCTAAATGTTTGCTATACAGTATTGTTAAAATATTCCAGAATATGCAAAAGTAGTTTGATTGTGAAAAACGACAACATATAGAAGATAATATAAATGTGAAAACTAAGCATTAAAATAACATAATTATCTAATATCGATTCCTTGTTTCTGAGAAACACGTCTCCAGTTTTTCATTTTGAAACAGATTTTGTGTTGTTGTCTGAATCACTTCACGGCTGCAGCACAATTCAAGTGTAGAAACATGAAGTTAATCATCTTGCCCTCTAAGTGTTCCAACGTCGATTATCTTTCTGAACTATATGATCTTGTTTGGAAGTTGCAATAAATTATGACGACAGAAAACTATTAGCCATGAACAAGCAGAGGTCAGGGAGCTGTGGGAGAGCGGCTGTGATTTAGCAGCAGCGACAGGCGCTGCAGACTCTGTAAAAAGCTTTGCCGTGTCCCGTTATTCAAACAAATCACCGAGAACCCAAAGAGCACGAAACATGCTGATGCTTTTCTGTCGCCAAGGGTTATCTGTCTCTCCCAGCATGCATTGCCTCTCACAGGGAGGAAGGGTAACAATGACCGTGCAGAATATCTGAATCATTCAGTGTTTTTGAAAACTCTGCTGAGTATTAAAACCTCCTGAGCAGCATTAACTTCTATTTGTGTAACAAAATGAATGATTGTATTAGTTTCTAATTACAAGCTTGTTTAAATTCTAACTTGTGTTTCATAATTGGTGACATGAAATGACTTACCTGAACAAACTTTTAATTAAATGCCCTCTGCGTTGCCATTTATTACAAAAAGCAATGTTTAAAAACAAACAGCATGCACTAAAGTCTGTCTATATTTCACCTGAAATGCATCCCTTTTAAAGTATTTTATGTTATTTGTCTTTTTATGTTAAGAATGGCTTTAAGCAAGATTACTGTTTGCTAAAGTGTAATGTGCAGAATTCTGCGTTTCACTAAAAATGAATGCCTTTCAGTCTCACAACATGTATTATGTAATGAAACAAGTAGTGTTGCCTGCAAATTTAAACCAAAATGTACACACTGAACATTCAGTCCCACTCCTCTGTTAAAAACGGTTTGTCTGTCATTTGTGTGATCGTATACGGAGCGATATTCGTGATGGCAGGTCTGAAGCAGTTTTCTCTTCTTTTCTTAGTGCAGTGCTTCTTCAGTTGTTTCTGTCTGAGCCACTTCATGAGCATCTCTGCCTTTAAGGTGAGCAGGCACATGTTAGTTATGCAACCAGGAAAATGTCACCTCAGGCTGCTGTCTTTCAGTCTCCTTTAATGAGGAGGAAGGAAAGCAAGATATAAAAAGAAAGAAAGGCTGTTTGTGATGTAACCCTCGGTGTCGTTCTATCCACAACACTGGGACTGATACGAATGTTTTGTGTTCTTCTTTTTAGCAGATTAACGTTTATCTCATCTTCTGGCATAGTCGGCTTAAAATATGTTCATTATCTCAATCTACAGAGTTTGAACAGATATGGAGATTGCTCTGTTGAAACTTGTTGTTGATCTTAAAAAATGTTTTTGTGCCCTTGTAATCACAGACCATGATTTTGCAGGGATTTCTGGAATATCTACTGACAAGAACAATAAGTAAAAAAAAAAGTATAATAGAAGTGTTGGTGTAAATGTGTAGCATTCAGCATAATCAGGAAACAATCTTTTTAGGCTTTACAGAGAGGACTGATCTATTCTATAGGATTATACATGTCTCAGTCTCATTGCATACAACCTGTACAACGTTTCAGTCTGACAGCATGTTAGTGTGATGTCTTGACTTCTTGGTGTGTCCTAGTTACTATAAAACATCAACAAAAACAAAAGAACACAAGTGAAAACAGTATAAAACACAACAAAACTGTTGCTGCTTTGTTGGCCTGCTACATGTTGTCTTGATTGATTGCTATAATTTAAAAACATTTCATTTTTATTTTTTATCACATGACTTGAATTTCTGTGGCACGGTGGCGCAGTTGGAAGAGCTGCTGCCTCTCAGTGAGAAGGTCGCCGGATTGAATCCTGGTCGTGGGGCCATTCTGGGTGGAGTTTGCATGTTCTCTCCGTGAATGCGTGGGTTTTCTCCAGGTGCTCCGGTTTCCTCCCACAGACCAAACACATGCATGTTAGGCTGATTGGTAACTCTAAATTGTCCCTAGGTGTGAGTGAGAGAGTGAATGGTTGTTTGTCTCGTTTGTCTTTAAATGGCCCTTTGAAGGACTTATGACCTGTGTACCCCGCCTCTCGCACAGTGATGGCTGGACATGGGCACCATAACACCCGCCGTGACCCGAAAAGGAAGAAGCAGGTAAAAGATGATGGATGGATGGATGGATGGATTGATGGATGGATGGATGGATTGATGGATGGACTTGAATTCGACCCCCCCCCCCCACACACACACACAGTTTTTGTACTTGAGTTGAAACAGTGAGTTAAACAGTGAGTTAAAGCAGTGAGTTAAAACTGAGCTAAAACTGTGAATTAAAGCAGTTAGTTAAAACAGTGAACTAAAATAGTTAAAACAGTGAGTTAAAACAGTGAGTTAAAACTGAGTTAAAGCAGTTAGTTAAAACAGTGAATTAAAATAGTTAAAACTGTGAGTTAAACAGTGAGTTAAAACTGAGTTAAAGCAGTTAGTTAAAAAAGTGAATTAAAATATTTCAAACAGTGAGTTAAAAAGTGAGTTAAAACTGAGTTAAAGCAGTTAGTTAAAACAGTAAATTAAAATAGTTCAAACAGTGAGTTAAAGCAGTGAGTTAAAACTGAGTTAAAGCAGTTGGTTAAAACAGTGAATTCAAATAGTTAAAACTGTGAGTTAAAACAGTGAGTTAAAACAGAGTTAAACAGTGAGTTAAAATGGTGAGTTAACACTGTGTTATAGCAGTGAGTTAAAACTGTGTGTTAAAGCAGTTAGTTAAAACAGTGAATTAAAATAGTTAAAACAGTGAGTTAAAACTGTAAAACAGTGAGTTAAAACCGAGTTAAAGCAGTTAGTTAAAACAGTGAATTAAAATAGTTTTAACTGTGAGTTAAAACATTGAGTTAAAATGGTGAGTTAAAACTGTGTGTTAAAGAAGTGAGTTAAAACTGTGTGTTAAAGCAGTTAGTTAAAACTGTGAATTAAAAAAGTTAAAACAGTGCGTTAAAACAGCGAGATAAAACTGTAAGTTAAAACAGTGAATTAAAACCGTGAATTAAAATAGTTCAATCAGTGCGTTAAAGCAGTGAGTTAAAGCAGTGAGTTAAAAGTGAGTTAAAGCAGTTAGTTAAAACAGTGAATTCAAATAGTTAAAACAGTGAATTAAAACAGTGAGTTAAAACTGTAAGTTAAAACAGTGCGTTAAAACAGTGAATTAAAACAGCGAGTTTAAACTGTAAGTTAAAACAGTGAATTAAAACAGTGAATTAAAATAGTTCAATCAGTGCGTTAAAGCAGTGAGTTAAAGCAGTGAGTTAAAACTGTAAGTTAAAACAGTGCATTAAAACAGTGAATTAAAATAGTTCAATCAGTGCGTTAAAGCAGTGAGTTAAAGCAGTGAGTTAAAACTGAGTTAAAGCAGTTAGTTAAAACGATGAATTCAAATAGTTAAAACAGTGAATTAAAACAGTGAGTTAAAACTGTAAGTTAAAACAGTGCATTAAAACAGTGAATTAAAATAGTTAAAACAGTGAATTAAAACAGTGAGTTAAAACTGTAAGTTAAAACAGTGCGTTAAAACAGTGAATTAAAATAGTTAAAGCAGTGAATTAAAACAGTGAGTTAAAACTGAATCAAAACAGTGCTTCTCGGGCACTAACCACCCGTCATACATTTCGCTGGTCTGTCTGAAGGAGGCGTTCACGGTCTGAAGCGGAACTCCGCCTCTGGTTATTATTTCACCGGTAACTCAGCGCGAGGAGAGGCAGATACAAGCAGGCATGTTCCTCTGAGAAACGGAGTAATTTTTTTAAAGTTATGATTTCCATCTGAGGACGGATAAAACCCGGGAGGTGAATCCAGCTGGTGGCGTCCGGCGCGGACAGATGAGTCCCCGGTGCCTCTAACGTCCCTCTTTGTTCGGCTCGTGGCGTCTCTTCGCCTCCGACATGGACCGTTCAGAGGAGCACAGGTCGGACGACGAGGCTGAATATGAAGACGAGGAGGTGGACCCCAGAATACAGGTTTGCTTTGCTTTATGTTCATTTAAATAAAATGTGAATAAAAATGAAATGTGCCAGTTTTGCTGCAGCCACAGCAGCAAAGTCATCCTGCAGGTCTCATTTACCCATTGCTTCTTGGAAATAAGCAACAATAATTTGAAGCTCCTTCATTTTTTGATCCTGTATCTAAACTGGTGCATTAGTTGTGACAGTTTCCTGCTGCTGGTGCAAACTTCTGCATAACACTGATGATGTGTCGAAGACAGTTTTGATTAAACTAAAGCCTAACAGGTCAGTTTTTTTTTTTTTTTTTGCAAGAAAACATCTGGTTTGTGAGATAAACTGAAAACACCAAACAACTGATAGAGCTGACACTTCTGTGTTGATAGAACAGGATTCAACAAAACAATGGGCAAAACATGGCATCCTGTTTCTCAGCCATGTTGATGCCATCAACCAGATGTCTCCAGTTTCTCCAATTTGTTCATTTCCTGTCAGATAAAAACAGTAAATCATCACCGAGAGGCTGTGATTTACTTTGTGCTTCTCACTTGTTAACGATCAAATCCAGCATGACCTTTGAATTCTCTTTTGGCAGAACTAGAATAGAACAAGAACATCTTTACAGTCTTTACAAACATATCTCAAGACTAAACAACAACGAATAAAGGCTATTAAAAAAAAAAACACACAAACACTTTTAAATCAATTCTATTCACACGACAACGTTTCAGGTTAAAAAGAGGAACCACCCTGAAAAGATCAAGTCAGTCTGTGATGAAGGTGATCTTAATTCAGCAGATTCATGATTTATTTTGCCATCCATCGTGTGACCTCTGACCCCACATCAGGACTAATTGATTTTTTTAAATGATCGATTTGGATGCAAAAATTGATGCATAATATTTATAGGGAAAATATCTTAAAAGGATTGGGAATACATTTGTCGTTCTGCTGGAAACGATCTGCAAATCAATATGAAATGCTGCCATAAATATTGAAATCAACGTGGCAGTGAGTGAAAACACATTTTTGGACTTTGACTTTAACCTTTTATTGTTGGATCAAAGACTTTATTATGTGTTTTATTATTTAAGATCAACGCAGAGCTAAAATATTCAACTGGTAATTAAAATGTGCTTGTTTTCTGTTAAATTAGTCACCATCTTTATGAGTTCATTGTCTTTTAAATCAAAACTTTTATGAAGACTTTAGTTTTATTCCTCTAAATAATTCAATTTTAACCCTTTTTTTGTTGATTTTTTTTTCCAGATGTTTTACTCTTTTTATAATGATGTCATCCCAGTGCTACTCCAGGTGTTAAACTGGTTCTCTGTCTTTTCTGTGTCTTAAAGGGAGAACTGGAGAAACTCAACCAGTCCACCGACGACATCAACAGATGCGAGACGGAGCTCGAGGTCAGTGCAGTGACGTGCACGGAGTCGCGCACGTTCACCGTGTTTGTGTGTGGTGGTTTCTGACTAATGGAGGATGGAGCTCCATCATCAGATGGGATGTTTCTTTCTGCTGCTCAGAGCCGGTGCTCACTGGCACTCCGGGACACGAGTCTGTCAGTTTGTCTTAAACTGTGTAGATGCAGCAAGTCGCTTTCTCTGAATCACCACCAGACCTTTGCTCCGTCTGCAGAACGAGCGCGGGTTTTGTTCATGTCGGCAGGTTGCAGCGTACGCGGAGCTTGAACTTTATTCTGTTTTGCACAAATGTGGCCTCGTGAGCAAAGTTAAAGGTTGCATCGTTCCAGTGAAGCACAGAGGGGTAAGTGTGATGATGCTGGCAGTTGCTGGGGCAACTGTGCCAAAGTGGTTGGAGAAGTTGTCCTCCAATGGGAGAGTTGGGGGTTCGATTCCACCAGCAGCCACATGTTGAAGTGTCCAGAGGAAGACGATGAACCCCTCACTGCCTCCGATGTGTCCCATCGGTGTATGAATGTGATTTAAAGCTCCACAGGTTCAGATTAGCTTTGTAGAGATCTAGTAGAGTGCTGTACGAATGAGGGCACAGATTGTGTTGTAAAGAGCTTTGAGTGTGTTGATAAGTTAGAAAGGAGCTATATAAGTACAGTCCATTTACCATGAATTCAGTGTATGTACTTTTGCTGCACAGTATAGTTTGAACACCTTAAGCCATTTTTAAAGGCGAAAGTTTTCAACAAATTCGCAAGATGCCTCTCAAAACGACGTTTTACCAACATGAACATCTTTGTGAAACTTGAACTTCTGACCTTCGTGTCCATTTAACGAGGCTCAGCTGATGATCTTTGAATCCCATTAAAACCCAGTAAATCCCGATGGCTTTGTTTATAGGTCGGTAACGTTTTGCGCTGTGTCAGAGATGAAAGTTCAGAATCGGAGCATGTGACGAGTCGGGCAACTGAGAGGTGAAACTGAACTGGACTTTTAAGAGTTTGGTCACCTGGACATCGTTTTAATTAGTTTCACTGCTTGATTCAGTGGCAATACTGGCAAGAAATTCAACAATGTTTTTGTTTTGTCCTCTATATGCAAGAGAGGTTTTTTTGTTTTGTGTGATTCTTAGATTGGTGGAATGCAAATAGGACTAGTAAGTGAAAGATATTTCCTAAGTGGAACAAGTGAAGTTGCTGAATTGATCAGTTAGACCCTCCACATCATGCCGAGCTGTTTTGTTCTGCAGCCTCAGTGATTGTGCGGCGTGGTTTATGACATCTCTGTTTGATTCTTGTTCGCACTTTTGCCTCATTACGCTCTGTTTATTCTTTAAAATCACGGCTGTAGGTGCAATGCAGCGGGTGCGTGTGGAAAACGAACACGTAGACATCTGAACATACTTTTAATCACCTAACCTCATGAATATTAGCCATCTTTGTCATAAAACTTTGTATTTAAAAATGCTCCTAAATTTCACAGAACTTGTGGAGGAAATTACTGCAACATTTAAAAAAAACAAAAAAAAAAAACGAGAAGTTAAACTGAAAACCTATTAAAAAAACTTCTGCTATTGCTTTGTGTTTTCAGTCCATCACTTCCTCTGCTGTGGGCACAGTGATGTATTTCTGTCAGTCCTGACACCTTGACAGCTATCGTCATCTTTACAAGAATTAATCAGAATCAGAATAAGCTTTATTATCATTGTACCGAGATACAGTGAGATTATGTTCATACAGTCATCCGAAAGATGGGCGGAGTCACGCTGCTGCTACAAGACCACGGCCTTTTATTCTTTATCAGAATACTTTTTTACAATAGATGAAGCTTTTTCCTTAGTATACCCATGTCCCAGGAGAAATTTGATGGCTGGCCCACATCCGAGGCCAAATGGGTGAGTCAGATTCAGATAAGCCACAATTGTTGATTTTTTTTCAGGCAGACTGTTTTTTTATTGTCAGCCTTGAGTCCTGCTGGTACTTTCCAGATCCAAAATGGCCAGATTTATGGGCATTCCACTGATCTGTGCTATGAGCCTTCTTAAAGGTCGACTCCAACATGCTGGCGAGTCCTAGAAGCCCCAGGTGGCCTGCTTATCTCACAAATCACTTCCATCTTACGGTTTAGCTCGTAAATCAGCTGATTTTGAGTACTCGTAGCATGAACCAAACGTTCACACAGACTTGGCAGTTTTGTCATGGCTGAAAACTGCTACCGATGCCTTCCTCAAAAGCTGATAACATAGGAACCCGCCAGTGCCAAAAAGCAGAAACCCTGCTATCATGAATCCAATTATATAAACGTCTTTGGCGTCCTCCTGAGACAGAACTGAAAGACACACTAGCTGTCAAACACAGATCCCTGATGTATCCTGCAGCCTGAGTCTCAGCAGGACATGAGGACTCTCCAGGACCCTGTCATTTTGTTGAAAAGATTTTGTCGATTGCGTTCAAAGTCCAGCTCACCAGCTCCGTAATGTGCTTTACATGTTGATGCAGCTGCATCTGTACTGTCAGATGCGAATTCTGACCATGGCACCATGGGTTATTTGGTACTGTGGATTCTTTGAATGTGCTAATTGGAGTCCGACCAATATGGAAATTTTGGTTATTGCCGATACCGATATTGGGCGGAGAAGGTTGTTGCTGATAACCAATATACTGGCTGAAAGTTTTTAGCTTTGTCCACCTTCAAGAATCTAAGTAAACGGCTACTTTTAAACCTGTTTTAACACTTGAAGTCTTGAAACAGTCTTCCTAACGTGCGTTCACATTTTTTTTTATCCTCCATTATTCACCATAAAGTTATCAAGTGTGCAACAAAAATATAAATTAAACAAAGAAACGCCCTTCCCTGTTCATTGTTTAAACAGTCAGTCACGTACGGTGAAGGTCTAGTTTGTATTGACCGCAGCAGAGGATTTTTTTTGTCTTTGCAAAGAAGTAAAGATTTCAGACAAACAATACAGTTCATTGAGCACGACAAAGATAATGTTACGAACACTGAAATATATTTTACCGCTACATTAGCTTTATTGCTCTGGATAAAGTTTTACGAGGCAATAATGGCCTATGTTAGGTTATCTATGTTAGCTTGCTTACTTGAGTGGCACGTTGCTAATGACGAGCGGGTTGGAGGACTGAAGATAATTTGTTGTCGATTTATTTTGCAGATCAGTTAATATAAACTTCCCATGCTTTTTTCAACAAAACGGTGTAATTGCTCCCTGCTTCAGCTGCGCTGAAAGTGAAAGTTAAAGTGCACAGCCTTGACTTGAAAGTAGTCCTCATGCGCCCTCTGCTGGACACATTGTACAATTATGCCATTTGCAAGTAAGGACACTGCTTGTTCCCAGCATTTTAGGGGTGAAAATTGGAAGTGTTTGAACCAGTTATCACAGATAATAACCAGATATGTCCCCAAATGTCTATATCGGCCTAAAACATCGGCCCTGCTGATATATCAGTTGGGCTCTAGTGCTAATGTAAGTTATGTAGCAAACGTGGCTCTAAAGCTTCTCACAGATGCCATGTATAACTGGAAGGATCTAAAAAGTTTTTATTTTATTTTTTTTACATATCAACTTCTTAGCTGATCAAAAATGAACCTTTATTGCTCCAAGTGCGTTTTTATTTCTGCTTTGAGAGTAAATGTCTTGCAAATAAAAGTGAGCAACTCTTTAAACTGACATTTAATACCCAACACAAACTTAAAGGCCACGTTATAGACTAAGACCGTTTTGGTCCAACCTTAAAAATAACATTTTTTGTGATCTCATGCGAGTGTATGAGTCGTTACCCTCAGATCAGGTGTTGTGAATGACTTTCAGCTACTACCGCATCAAATTTTAGCTCCATCTGTTAAACTGACCAAGTTGTAGCCATTTCTGTGTTAGCTGTGGCAGCCATCTTAAAGTGGTTCCTTCGAAATGTAATTTGTTGTAGGAGAACTGTCCATCCAGTGGTTCACGAGATATTCTGCTAACAGACAGACAGGGATGAATCCAGCAATTAAGTAAATGTATATAACGCAACATAAAGTTTAAAGTATGTGTTAGAGATGATGCTCAGCCACTACCACACTATATTTTAGCGCAAACTCTGTAAAACTGATTGTTGTCATTTTTCTATTGAAGGTCAGTTGACTGTGGCAGCCATCTTGAATTGATTTGTTGTACATCTAACGATCACTTTGTCCATTTCATTAAAATCTTCCAGTCGTTCACGAGATATTATGCTAACATACACAGTTGACTCAAATCGTTAATGGCTACGTTTTAAAACGATGTGCGATCAGTTGGTGCTCGTGTTGGGAATAAGTTTCGGCTACTAACAGTTATGAATGTTTTGCACACGTGCACGCACACGCACGGACATGGTCGAAAGATTTATCCCCTTTGGTGTGAAGCAACATCAATTACCAGTTTTCAGTTTTCCCGTTGGGAAGAAAGCAGCTCGAAGGGGGTCGTAGAAATATCATTAAAGCTACAAGAGGGATATTTCTGGCTTTAAATGTTTTGAAGCTGAAGTTTTTTTGAGTCTCAGAACTCTGAGTGGGAGGACGGGACAGGACAGGACAGGACAGGACGGGACGGGACAGGATGGGACAGGACAGGACAGGGACTCTGCACTGCACCAGTCTCACACATAAAACCAGTTTGTTACAGAAGAGACGCACCAAAGATGAGAAATATGAGAGTTCTACTCTTAACCAAATGTTTTTTTAACTAACATATTGGCTTCCATTAGCTACAAAAACAAGATTAATATGATTAATTTTAACACGTTTTATGTTTTATTGATGTTTTGTCTTGTGTTGTAAATCCAGCACACTCTCAGCCCGCATAAAACGAAATTACTTTCCTCCCAATTCATAGAATTTTACATCAGCTCACCTGAAAATGAAATCCTTTGGTCCAAACGCCTCTTATACACCCTTATTAGAATTTCACTGTGTAATGGTGCTTTCTTATTATTAGCTCTGCACCTTCGTGCTTGTGTTGCGTACGGACTAATCTGTGAGCTTGGCTTTGTAATTCAGCACATTTGGGTGGAAATCAAACGATGCCTCTGAGGCTGAAGTGCCGACTGCTCATTTTAATTTAAGGGTGTGCTATTCCACATCTGACACACTGTTTGGAAATTTAGTTCCCTCTTTTTATACAGACGCCCACGGTTAAAAACTGGTCCAACTCCGTTTGTTTCTTAATGTGAAGTCAGCACCTCTTAAAGCCTCTGATTCACTTGAAATCCACTGAGGTGGAGTCCAAAATTACAAAATATGTACGGAAATTATTAGAATTTACTTTTTATGTAAGGCTTCATGATATCAATTCAAATTTTTCTTATTAATATTTATTTAAATATTTGCTCGAGATTCATTTTTTAGGACGTACTGTAACTACATTTTTAACCTTAGAAGTGTTTACTTATGTAGTGGATAAAAAAAAAAATAAATTCCCAATAATTCATAGAAAATAGTCAATATTTTATAAATACTGATACATTTCTATAAAATCAAGGCAAGTTTTTCAGTTCAGCAAGACCATGAAAGCTTTATAAGTTCCTTTAAAAATAGTCAGTTATTAAAAATCAAACTTGGAAGTTTTGTTAGATATAATTCCTCAAATAAGGCGAGCAGGTCCCTGGTTCAAATCCTGGTCCGGGGGCCTTTCTGGGTGGAGTTTGCATGTTCTCTCCGTGCATGCGTGGGTTTTCTCCAGGTACTCCGGTTTCCTCCCACAGACCAAAAACATGCATGTTAGGCTGATTGGTAACTCTAAATTGTCCCTAGGTGTGGGAGTGAACGTGAATGATGTTTGTCTCGTTTGTCTCTGTGATGGACTTGCGACCCGTCCAGTGTGTACCCCGTCCATCGCACAGTGATTGATGGACATGGGCACCGGTGACCCCCGTGACCCAAAATGGAAGAAGCGGGTAAAAGATAATGGATGGATGGATAATTCCTCAAATAAGTGTTTCATATGAAAGAACCAGACCTTTCTCCTGTAAAATTAAAGGGTGTTACCACTAAAACTAGGGATGCACAATATTGGATTTTTGGCCAATATCAAATATGCCGATATGTTAAAACTTATTTGGCCAATAACCGATACGGATATTTTATATACTTTGTCAGAACATAACCCTCTTATTCAGGCTTATTTGCTACAAAAATTGTGTAACAGCTGTAAGAGCTGGTGATATATATTAAAACTCACCCAAGTGCTATCGGCTGTTAGCTTCTCAATGACATCGGAAATAGCGGCTTGTAACTCGGGTAAGGTTACGTTAGAAAAATATCTCCGACTGGGGACGATGTAGAGACGCTCAACTTAGCCCAAAAATCTTCTGACATCCTCAACGCAAAAAACGTCCACACCGCCGACATTCTGAATTTTCCGCTCTGCTGTGAGAGCAGGTAGGCGCATGTGACATCATCACGTTGTGCTGGTGCTACAGGCATACTTGTCACTGGGTTGTCACACAAAAACAACATTTTTTTTTTAAATATCGGTGAGTTATTTTGATGGAATGTCCGATATTTAACTTTAACGCTAATATCGGCCGATACTATGCCGATAATATCGTGCATCCCTAATAAAAACCATTATGAACTTAAAACCATTTTAATTGTTTTAAGTTAAATTGGTTTTGGCAGCCATTTTGAATTGGGTTGACTCCAAAAGTTAATCCTGCTGTAGTCTAATGACGACTTTCTGCAATTTTCTATTTTATTGTAATTCTGTCCTAATTTTGACTCTTATGTGTTGTGTTGACTGTGAGTTAAACTTCTTTCTCCAGACGTTCTGCTGAGCATCTTTCACCTACTTCATCACAGCGTTAACCAGTTTTGACTCAGGCCACTGCGATTGTCTGGCAATGCTTCACAGAACTGGGTGTAACTTGGTTACACACTTCTTGCATCATCAGCTTTTCTAAAAGGGGAAAAAATAAAAGCTTGGAAACCACGAACTCACCCGCTCACTGTCAATACATTTTGTAGAAGCTATTGTTTCTCTTTGGACCTAATACTTTTCCACTTCATAATGGATTTGATTGGTGGTTTATGGCGATAAGCCATGTTTTATTTCCTTCATTAGTTAACTTCACAGTCGGAGTGGATTAGATTAGGAGCAGGAACTACGTCAACAAATGGAACAAAAAGCTAAACAGTTTTTGTCTTTAAATAATCTGGGGATATTTGGTTTAATGTGTCGCCTTCTGCTGAAAGGAAATCAAAGGTCTGGTTTGCTGATGATGATTGTTATTTTATTTTAAATGATTTACCTGAACTACTGCCAGTTAAATGCTGATGCTTTTAATTTGAAGCAAAGGTTCTACAGAATATAACAAATTAAGAAACGTTGTAAGAAAATTGATCCACAAGCTCAAGCACAGAACATTGGATTTTGTTGTTATCAGAGGTCATGAGGGATCTAATTGATCCACATGGTCAGGGGTCATGCAGGTCTTCTGACCTGGAGATTGAGAGCTGGTATTCTTGTTTGGATGACCAGACAGTACAACTCACCCTCACTCATTCAGTGGGTCATTGGATTTCTTTCTTTTCTCAGGATGCGAGGCAGAATTTCCGCTCCGTCCTGGTGGAGGCCACGGTGAAGCTGGATGAACTGGTGAAGAAGATCGGCAAACCTGTGGAGGAATCAAAGCCTTACTGGGAGGCCCGTCGATTGGCCCGACAGGTTAGTCAACAAGTGCTGAAAGGAGGGATGAAGGGATAAGGAAGGATTGTTTCAGTGATGTGGGGCAAGTTCAAGTTAGCCAACAAGTGTAAACCTGTAAAAGCCTTTATCGCTGCATTATCTACAAGTTGTTGATTTGTTTGGGGTTTTTTTTTGGATAAAAATATGAGAAAGTATATTGCGTTGTTTTGGGGGGAAATCTGAAACGTTATAAATTCTGTGTTAATGACATTACCTACTAACTGCCCCCGTTTTATTGTTTTACTGTAGGTATTTATCAAGCCAAATGTTGACACTTACTGTGCTTGATTTTCGTCACTGGTTTGTTTGATCATTTATGGTGTGCTGAAGCTGACGTATTCTATCAACTTTTATCACCTCCCATCATGAAAAGTGGACCATCATCATATTGTGTGCGTCTGTTAGCAAGGTACATCATGAACTGGGTGGATTTTAACGAAACTCTCAAAGTACTGGTATGCACATAAAGCTACTTAAGGTCCTATCTTACTGGGCTACAACAAGTTGGCAAACAGCATTTACAAAGGAGTCTCCAAAGAGTCTCGTAGTCTTGTCGCTTGATTTTGAACGTTTGAAGAAATCTGTGACATATTTTATTACAAAATGGTCATTTAGTCCTTGTGGGGATCTCAGTCCTCCATGTTTGTAGGAGTCTCCAACCCCTCTCAAGAGGACTACATCTGTATTTTGATACCTGCACAGGAGCAGAGACCATTCTAGGCTAACATCCAGGTGTAAAAACCACAACAATGAAAAAAATATTTAAAAAAAGTGGTCAATAAGTTCCTGTCTTCATTTCAAAATTGTATTCCAGTAAATTAAACATGGGAGTGGTTGCCAAAATCGAGCTGAGGTGGGTATGATGTGGGCAGAGGTGGTGAACAAAATAATGTGCACTCCTCGGAGTACATCCTGATGTATGCTCAGTGATACAAGTAGAAAAATCTAAAAAGTCAAGTTGGGTCCTCTGGACGGGTTCTTCTTGTTGAAACGTTTCAGCTTTTATCCAGAAGACTTCATCAGTCCCTGGGGCTACAATAAACTCAGTCTTATAAATACTGTAGCACCTTCTCCTAGTGGATCAACCAGTTTGTTGGTGACAGTCACAACTAGCTCTTCTTTCAGGGATGAAGATGTGCACATCCTTGACAGAGAGAAATGTTGGTTTGAGAGAGGAGTAAAGGAGGCCATCTTTGTGAAAAGAAACCGTCCATCGTTAAACAGGGGCGGAGGCCTCCGTGTTCAACTGTCCCCCCTCTTACAATGATGTTATTGCTAGTATCACTCATCCCTCTGTGAATAGCAAGCGGCCATCGGGGCACTAATGATCGGTCATTAGGCTGAGGGTCCTCCTTTTGCATGTGAACAGCTAGTTTTTGTTCGCACTAACAGATTGATCCACTCTGAGAAGGTGCTATTTATGAAACTGAGTTTATTGCATCTCCTCAGACTGATGAAGTCTTTTGGATAAAAGACGAAACATTTCAACAAAAATCCATCCAGAGGACCTGACTTAACTTTTTTAGATCCCCAGAGTACAGTTTAAAAGCTGTGCAAACAAGCGTAAGCCATGATTTTGAACATTTTTGTTCACTAGTTGTTTGATTGCAAACACTCAGGATTTACAGAGAAATGTGCAAATTTTCTACCAGTTTTAAATGAACTAGCCTCGAGTCCAGTAAGATATGACCTTTAACTCTGATTCAAGGTGTCCTTCATGCTAATTGTCCAAACCAACCACAAAAATGTCTATCATGCAGCCAAATGTTACACATATTGCGCTAAAATGTGGTGCTGTAGCAGCTGAAAGTCATTAACAACACGTGCTGTGGTAACGGGTCTTTGTTTGAAACTTAAGCGTGCAAGCCGGGCGATCCACATTCCTTCAGGGAATAATACTTTTATAAAGTTTTGCTTGGGTTGGAAATAAAGTCATGTAAAGAGAAACTATTTCCAAGCTAAATGACAAATCATTGGTGTCCAAACATTTCCTCTAGTATGTTTTCTATCTAGTTTTCTCTAGCTCTAATCCTCAGGAATGATCTAATCTAACTAGTTTTCTGTACCCTGTGTCTTTTAAATGCTGATTGTTAAAATGGAGAATAAATTACACACTGATGTCGTACATCACTTCAATCCTCTCCACTTACAATCGTTTCAGCCCACGGTTTCACTTCTCTTTCTGTCCGCGGTGGAACGTGTGCGTGATGTGAGTAAATAAAGGGGGAGGAAGCCACCTGCCCGTCTCGATAAGAGGCCTGCGCAGCTGCACAGCTCAGTCAGAAAGCGCGGGGATGGGCCGAGGCTCTGAAGGCTTTATTGTGTTGTCTCTTGGCTCTGCGATGACATAATTCATGGAGGCAGATTATCAAGGGCCTACACAGCGAGATAACGACGTTACTCTGATTATAAAGGGTCATTTGCAGCTGGGTGCTGAAACACAGGCGATGGTGAAAGACTGTGTGAAGTGACAATGCAGTTGGACTTCCCCCTTTTTCGTATGACCTTTTATTAACTCATGAAAAATATTCTGTGACAGCACCGTTGTTGTTGAAAGGCTCGTTTGAGTAGGAAAATAAGAACAAATATCTGCACGTCATATTGAAGAGGAATTCTTCAGTATCCAGATTTGCTTTATACTCTGTGTGTGTGTATGTTTGGGGGAGCGTTGAGCTAACAGAATGTCATGAACTACTGGACAGATTTTAATGAAGCACTAAAAGTAATCTCAAGGTAGACTGTGGGGTGCTCCATGTGGGATTAGGGGCCCGTTGGTACGGGCTGGTCGATCCCTATACAAGTGGTGTGAGAGGTTGGCTCGCATTGCCGGTAGTAAGTCGGACCCCTTCAAGGTGGGAGTTGGACTCTGCCAGAGCTGCCCGTTGTCACCGATTCTGTTCATAAAGTTTATGGACAGAATTTCTCGGTGCAGCCAGTGGGCAGAGGAAGTCCGGTTCACTGTCCTAAGGACTCCTTCTCTGCTCTTTACAGATGATGTGGTCCTGTTGGCGTCATCGTGCCGTGATCTCCAGCTCTCACTGGAGCGGTTCGCAGCCAAATGCGAAGCGGCTGGAATGAGAATCAGCTCCTCCATATATGAGGCCATGGTCCTCAGTCGGAAAAGGGTGGATTGCTCTCTTAGGGTCGATGGTGAGGTTCTGCCTCAAGTGGAGGAGTTCAAGTATCTCGGGGGTTTTGTTCACGAGTGAGCAAAGAATGGAGCGTGAGATTGACAGACAGATTTGTGCAGCGTCTGCAGTATTGTGGACTGTGTACCAGTCCATTATAGTGAAGAGGGAGCTGAGCTGTATGGCAAAGCTTTCTGTTTACCCATCAGTCTACGTTTGCGGTCACGAACTCTGGGTAGTGACTGAAAGAATGAGATTGCAGGTCCAGGCAGTTGAAATGAGTTTCCTCTGCAGGGTAGCTGGACTCTCCCTTAGAGATAGTGTGAGAAGTTCAGCTATCAGGAGAGACTCTGAGTAGAACCGCTGCTCCTCCACATCGAGAGGAGCCAGTTGAGGTGGATCGGATATCTGGTAAAGATGCTTCCTGGGCGCCTCCCTATGGAGGTGCTTCAGAACAGCTTTGACTTTGGAACAAGCGGAAGATAATGGATGAATAAATGGATAAAATTAATCTTTGCTACCACAGCTAATAGACATTAACCCACACAAACATGGTTGTAATTCAGTCAGTTTTGCAAATATGCAAGAAATTTTGCCAATTTAGATTTTCTTTTATGGGACATCAGAATTTTCTCACAGAAAATGAAGACATGGCTTGAATAAACATGTGGTCCTGTTGTGTCTAAAAAAACTGGCTGCACAGATTGTGAAGAATTCTTGCTCCTCCTGTCAGGTCACTGACTGTCCCAGTTTTATTTTAGTCCTCTCACTGTTTATATAGGAATAAAAATAACTTCCCTTTTAACCCACTTGTGCTCTTATACACTGTATAAAAAAGCTAAGACTTACTGCCCCCACCCCATCCAAAAAAAAGGGGGAAATGACATAAACATTTATAGTTTGGCTTGTGATGGCCCAGTTCTACGGTCCAGATTGTGTCCTATATCTTAGTTAGAGAAAGTAGGTCTTAAATTTTGAGCTTTTCATCCTCTTAAGTGTTGTCATGAAAGACAACAGTTATTTATAGCTACACTGTTCTGCTGCTGACACGATTTCATGAGGGCATATCACATCTTCTACTGATGTCTATTATTATTATTATTATTTTTCTATAAATAATTTACTGAGAGGTTTATAACATTTATAATTAAGATAAGTCCTTGGCTCTTACACTGGAAATAATTGCTGGTCAAAACAACTTTGAGACAAAGAAATGAGGTGTTTGTTGCAGCGAAGCAGTACGAAAGCTCATGTTTTTACTGCTACACAGCGTTAAAGCTACAAACAAGTTATTTTTCTTGCATAACTTGAAGATTTTGTCTGGTTTCAGGGTTGGGTTTGTTTGTAACCACACCAAAAAACTCATGTTAAGTCTAAAATTGACCCCTGAAGAGTTGCTCCCTTCCATGCTGCTCTTTAAGCGTCTGATATGCCTTATTTTGACACTCACACACTTGTTTTCCTGTTTAGTTGTTTTTTTTGCAAACTATTTCTGAATATGTTGTGATATTTTAACCATTTATAAACCAAACGGTTCAACTCAGTTGAGAATAGTGCAATGTTTGAGTTATTTAACTTTAACAAAAAATCCAAACCGTGCTCTTCGGTTTATTCTAAAACATTTCCAGAGTCGATTTAAGCACACCTGCATGTTTAGATGACATGTTTGTATGCAGTCATGGAGATTCATTCAACCTTTATTTATACAGGTTAGTCTCATTAAGTCACGAGGACTCATTTACAAGAGAGTGCTGTTTTAAACAAAGAACATAGATGAGGTACAGACAACAATAGACGATGGTATAAAAAGCATATAACATGAAAAGTAAATAAAATAAATATTAAAAAAAA